GTTGGATGCTTCCATTGTGATGCCTGGACCTTGGTTTCTGGGTCATATTTGTACACCCACAACTCGTCACCAGTGATCACAGTCTTCAGGAACTCAGGATCCCTGTTGGCACACTCCAGCATGTCCTGTGCAACCTCAGGGCGGAGTTGTTGCTGCTCCAGCGAAAGCAGCTTGGGCACAAATTTTGCCGCCACTCTTCGCATGCCCAAATCCTCAGTTAAAATTGTGTTTGCGGAACCTCTGCTGATCCCAACCTCATCAGCAACTTCACGGATGGCCAAACGACGGTCCTCCATGATCAGTGTCCGCACTTTTTCAATGACATCAACATTTTGGCTTGTTGATGGTCTCCCGGAATGCTGCTCACTGTCCGCCAACATACGGCTATGTTTAAAGTGGTTGAACCACTCTTTAATTTGAGTGACCCCCATTGCATCATTGCCAAAAGCCTGCTGAATTTTGCGAATTGTTTCCGCTTGGGTATCCCCAAGTTTCTGACAAAACTTAATGCAGTATCGCTTCTCCAAGCATTCTGTCATCTTGAGCGAAACGAGAATGTGCCAAATACATGTTACACCACTTCACTATCTGACAGCCACAGATGCATCCGGTGGTGTTGCGAGTCAGCAAAAAATCATGCATGCGCATGAAAGTCCCTTCTACCACTACGCTCAGTTTCCCTTCTCCTTGGGCCATTACTTACAGTGGAAAAAAATAAAGTTGGGTACTTTTTGGACCTACAGTATATTCACAAGGAAAAGTTAAGATCTGTAGTCTCTTAAATAGATCTCTACAGGAATTACGGGATTTGACAACCATCATGATTGTAACAATTTTCTTTTGCAATGTAAATACCTTTTCACTGTCAGACGAATTACCCCAGAAAATTATTCCATACTTCATTAAAGAGTGAAAGTAAGCAAAACAGACTGATCTGAGAGTGTCAATGTTACTAATATGTAACATGAATCTAACTGCATAACATGCTCTACTTAGCTGTGGAATCCACTGATCGATATAGTTTTTCCAGTTTAAATGATTATCAATTTGCAAGCCAAGGAGTTTTGTGTTTACTCCCTCTTCTATATATTTATCATTATATCCAATGTTTAATGGATATTGTAGAGTTTTTTCTCATAAATTTTATTAGATTTGTTTTTCTAGGTTCAGGAACAGCTTGTTTGCAGAAAACCATTTACTCATTTGCGAAAGAACCTTGTTTGATAACATGCAGAAATCGTCTAAATTTTACCAGAAATTATAACACTGGTGTCATCTGCAAATATTATAGGTATTGATGAGGTCCTTAGTGTAGGAGGGAGGTCGTTTATATAAATTACGAAATGCAAAGGCCCCAAAATTGACCCATGTTTTATTATTCCCCAGTTTGAGTAGGTACTTTGGATTGAATTTGATGATTTGATTTCAATCTTTTGTTTTCTATCTGTTAGGTAGAATATGAACCAACTTAACGTTGTTCCTTGAATGCCAAAAGAATGTAATTTAGTTAATAAAATTTCATGATTTATTCAGTCAAAAGCCTTTGCCAAGTCACAGAATATTCCACTAACATGCATTTTTTGATTAACAGATTTCAACACACTGTCTGTTAACTTAAAGGCTGTATTTTCAATGGGAATTCCTTTCCTAAAGCCAAACTGTTCTGGGACTAGTACATGGTGCAATCAAAAAGTTCCCAAAAATTGAATTTTACAGGTGAATGGTTATGAGTACATCAAAATAGTGCTAGGTGTCTACCCACACACCCTTCTTGAATCAGTGTGGTAAGCGGCATCGAGTTGAGTGGTTGGGTTTATTGTTGGTGAACGTACGAGTATTCCCATTGTTGTGTTTCTGTGAGTTTGCAGTTTTGCGATGGCTGACATGAGAGAGCAGCATGTCTGTATAAAGTTTTGTTTTAAACTTGGGAAAACCGCTGCAGAAATGCACCAAATGTCAAAGCAAGCTTTTGGTGACAAGTTTAGGCCAGACACAAACTTATGACTGGTATAAGCGTTTCAAAAATGGCCTAACATTGACTGCTGATGACGATCATTCAGGACAGCCACCAACCGGCACCACACCAGAAAATGTGGCGAAAGTTAGGAATCTGATTCTGCAAGATCGTAGACTGACCATCCAAGATTTCTGTTACACCTTGGGACTAAGTAATGGTACATGTCAACGAATTTTGTCAGAGGAACTGAACATGAGGAGGATTGGGGTGAAGTTTGTGCCATGACTGCTGAAAAATGAACAGAAGCAGCATTGCTTGGAAGTCTGCAGGGAACTTCAATAACAGCTTCAAGTGGATCCACACTTTCTTTCGAAGGTTGTCACTGGTGACAAAAGTTGGGTTTATGGCTACGACCCTGAAAGTAAGCAGCAATCGTCACAATGGAAGAGCCTTTTTCACCTTGGCCAAAAAAAGCTCGACAAATCGACAGCAACATTAAGTCCATCTTGATCTGTTTTTCTGATATTGACGGGATTGTTCATAAGTTCGTCCCTCCTGGTCAGATAGTCAATAAAGAGTTCTATCATGATATTCTAAGGAGTTTCAGGGAGGACATGAGTAGAAAACGTCCAGAGAAGTGGCACATGAATGACTGGGTATTCCACCGTGACAATGCATGACCACATATGGCTTACATTGTGTAGGAATTTTTGGATAAAAGCAAGGTGGCAGTTGTTCCCCACCCACCGTACTCGCCAGACTTAGCTCCATGCGACTTCTTTCTCTTCCCCAAGATGAAAATCAAGTTGAAGGGGCGAAGATTTGATACAGTTGAGGAAATTCAAGCGGAAACGCAGACGGTACTAAACACAGTAACAAAGAAAGACTTCCAGGATGCATTTCAAAAGTGACAGAAACGCTGGGATCAGTGTATGCACTCCCAAGGGGACTACTTTGAAGGTCATGGTGCAGAATAAGATCCAGGTAAGATGTAATAGTTTTTATTAATATATTTTGGGAACTTTTGGATAGCACCACATATATTTTTACTCTGAAAATAATGGCTTAAAATATTGTGCATAACTTTTTCAAGAACTTTAGAGAAAGTAGTTAGCAGTGAACTTGGCCTGTAGTTTGACATACTAGTCTTGTTCCCTTTTTTATATAGTGGTCTAATTACTGAATCTTAAGACGATCAGGAAAGATTCCTGTGGACAGTGAGTGATTATAAATGTGAGTTAATGGGCTACTGATCAGAGATGCACAAACTTTTAAATTTTACTTGTTATTCCATCATAACCTGAAGAGTTTTTTTTTCTGAGGGAATGTATTATACTTTTTATTTCAGTTTCAGTGGTTGGAATGGTTTTAATACAAGGGAATGTTCTAGGAAATTCCTCTCTTAAAAATGATATGGCATTATCTCCCACTTTCTGATGCAAGTTTAGATTTTCTGTAACTGTCAGAAAAAAAGTATTGCAGGCATCCGCAATTTCTCCTGGGTCCTTAACTGTTTCATCATTTATAAGGAAAGATGGTATCTCTTCAGTCAGATGTGATTTTCTTGTTTCATGTTTTATTATATTCTTGGTTGTTTTTATCTGATTATTCGATTCTGCTATAAGCCTACAGTAATGCTGCCTTTTAGCCTCTTTTATAACTCTACTCAGGATTTTGCAATACCTTATGTAGTATGCTCTCATGTAGGGATTATTACTGCTCCTGCTGTCTATAGACAGATGCCTTTTATGTTTACAAGATATTTTTATTCCTTGTGTAATCCAGTGGTTTTTTATTCTACTTAATTTTATTTTGCGCAGGAAAACTGGCTTCAAAAATATTTATAAAAAAAAGGAGTTAAACTTATAATTTGTATCCTTATTTTTGAAAACAGGTTCCCATGTTTCATTTTCTAATAGATGTTGAAAATGAGCAATGGTTTCACTATTTATTTCTCTGGTTCTCTATTTCAAGGGCACTGAATTTACTTTCACAATATTATTATCTACCGTAAGAAATCGAGCATCATGGTCAGAGAGGCTGTTGACTATAGAATATGTACAAGAAGAGCTTAACCTTGCATTATTTATAATGATATTATCAATGACTGTACTTGAGCAATTTTGAACTCTTGTTGTGCAATTCACTGTGTGACAGATTGTATGTCCTTATTAAAAGAATTTACTTTATTATATTTAAGCATCCTCTTGCACTCCATACGATAAATGATATAATGAAACAAACTCCGTCTCAAGTGCAAACAATATATTTTGTGTCTTTGTGTCCTGACAGTACATTAGACAGCACACGTAGTAAAGAATAGCAGCGGCACGCACACAGAAAGACTACACAGGATAACACTTATACAGTGTGGGAACAAGAACTAGCCGCTGCAGCACTTTAAACACAGGGCGAATAACCCTAACAATTTTAAATTTTAAAAATTAGAGGAAAAAATTTTAAAAGTTTTTTAAAATTAGAACTAAAGATTTTATTATAGTGCTATTACAATAAAGTCAAAATTAATGTGTGTAAAATAATCCACAAACCAGACAGCTATCAATGAAGTAGAAGTTGATAATAACAAGGAAAGTGCTTTTAAATGTTAAATTTTGAGCTGGGTGCAGTGTGACAGCGATGTGAGTGTTATACACCTGATGATGGCCGTCTGAGGCCGAAACATGTAGTGTAGGGGAGCAAAATCAAAGACACAAAATATATTGTTTGCACTTGAGACGGAGTTTGTATCATTATAACATTTATAGAATTTGTTTTTTTTTTACTGCTTTCATTGAAATAGTTTATGTTTATGTCTCCACAGATTATAAACTCTGACTTCGGACTGTACAGATATTTCAAACTTGCATCTAGTTTCCTTAGAAATTCATTAACCACTTCTGAAGGGTTTCTGTAGAGGCTTAATATCATTAGGTGAGATGTTTTGGTTACTAGCTGTATTGCGCAGATAATTCACTACGACATAATTGCCAATCATATGAGGTATACATGCAGAAAACAGTAATGTACAGCTCGTTAGACCTACCTGGAGTTTCTTAATAATTCTGTCTCTACTTTTTTCACCAACAAATTCACTCTTCATAAATGCATCCATTACATGACATCCTTTTGGATCAGTTAACATTGTTTTGAGATCACCAGTGTTCATGTCCAAAAGACTATTTACAGCCTGAATTGGTTTATTAAAGTTGAGCAATGTCTGAAGTATTAAAGATCCATGGAGGTGAATGAACAACTTGTTAGAAGTAATTTGCTCTTCATAGGTGACAAGACTTAAGGTAAGTGGAGACATGAGTGACTGTCTCTCTTTAGGCTCTATACAATGTAATGCTTTCATTAACAATTTTTGAAAGTTTCCTTGTTTAGTTGAATGCCGCTTGCAAGCTTGGGCAAGGCTTAGAAGTACTCCAGTATTATGACTTTTCAAGATTTCTTCAATAGGTTCTTCCAGCTCACTAAACATTCCTTCAAATTCAGTCCTCTCTGTACAGCAATCCAATAACTTCTGCACTGAAAAATTTGCTATTGGGTGTTGTGACAAGGGTGCCAAATGGTTGATGAAACATTTTGCATATATCTGCGTGAATTTTTTGGGTGATGCATTTGTTATTGCTGCCTCTAAGAGATGTACAGCTGCTACATCTTGAAACACAGGTAACGTGTTCTGTACATCTGGAGTACTTGATTTATATTCACTGTTTTTTATCTGAACTTCTGCATCCTTCCTGAGTGTAAAACATTCATCCAGTAATTTAGAAATAATTTTTTGGGCAAGTTTGTGATCATTTTCCTTTACGACAAACAGTAAGGTCTGCAGTAGTCCTGATGTTAAATTACTGAATGCCAAATCTGAAACAAAATGTATATTTGAGTTTCAGTAACATAAAGTGACTAATCTTATAATATATATATTTTTTACGGTTTAATATTGGTCCAGGATCTAGTTTTAGCCAAATACTAACACAGAAATTGTAAATAGTGTCTGGGCTTCAAACATTAGCTGAGATTTAGTAAAGAACTTTTAAGTACAAGTGATTATTCATCTGATGATACCAATTTTTGACAGGAGAACCATTTTTAAAGGTCTATGTTATAAACTTTTAAGAATGGATATTCACACCTGAGCAAGTTGGTATCTGCCTCCTAACACCACTCATACACTAGGCAGCAATGCATAACAGCAAACTTTTAGCCTACTTTCCTTACTTTGAAGAAACAAAAGGGGATTAAAAAGATCACCCCGCTGTGTTCCCCTCCCCCCATACTCCTGAAAGCTGGAACAGTGGAGCCTGAAGAGATGATTGTTACAATACCATATAAACATATATGTGACATAACACGACGCCTAAAAGCCAGAACAGTGCAGTCAGAGAAATGCCAAGAAAACTGCTATTGCTAGGCAATGGCTCAGTAATTAGGTATGTCAATTCTCTGGTTTCTGCATGCTGCAACTGATTGTTAACCCTGGTCCTTAAAGTCAGATTTACTTTATGACTGGTGGTTTACTGCCATGCAGCTCGTCTTGACACCAAGGCTCCTGAGTTTCTTTTTTCTTTCTCTTTTCTTTTTTGGTGCAACTGAACTCTTGCGGTCATAGTCCTTATGTAACATCCTCTATGATGAGAGGATGGATTTTGTCTTATGAATAGGCTTCGCCTTTGTCTAGTGTACATATCACACATATAGCACACATATGCACTACATACAGTCCTGTGATCATGCCTATCTTACTTACCTTATGCTACAACAGCAGCAGCTTATCTCACTTAATCAGTTGTAAGCTGGACCACTGCCAAGTTTAAGCCTCTTATACGTTCTACATCTGTTTTCGCCTTGCTCTATGCTGGAAACATGTTCATTCTCATGATATGGTACGACTTCCACTTGTTGCCTGCAGAATTTTGTTATATAATCATACACACATGAAAGGTTGAAAGCCGTGTGCAAATTGCGAATCGGTGTGAACCTTGGAAAATTTCCAATGGTGAGGAGAATCTTGTTTTGCATATGTTGCAATTTTAAGAGGTAGGTGTCTGCTGCAAATTTCCAGAGAGGGCAAGCGTAAGTCATCACTCATCTATCAGTGCTTTACGGAAGGTTAGTTTAATGTTGGTACTCAAACGCTCACTTTCAAATAGGGAGCAGATTCTAATATGTCTGAAGGCCTTCACTTCAGTCATTTTTATGTGCAGTCTCCACATAATCCTTGTATTGAAGATTACACTGGGTTATCTAACATGAATGGTCCTTAATCAAAACCAAAATTAGAGTTACTTAACAACTGCCAATTTACCACCAACCAGTTCGTCTTTGCCCCAAGTCCCTTGAGGCTCGGGATCAGACACTTTTTTTTTTCAGCCAAACCCTTGCAGTCATAGTCCTTACATAACATCCTCTCTGCCGAGGAGATTGGTTTCTCTCTTATGAGTATGCTTGGCCTTTTGTGGAGTGTATTGTCACATATCCTAGTAACGTGACAATTAATAGGTTCTCTGGAATGATGAATCGATTTACTGGACAATCACATGGCAGATCTAAAAATACTTATAACACTTCAAGAGGTTACTGGAATAATAACACCAAAGTCTTCAACACTTCCAGTCTTAGATGCTCCTTG